GGATGAGAACGATCTAAGGGTCCGGGGGCGTCCCGGAGCGCCGGAGCGACAGAGCCGTAGGTGAAGCTGGAGGATGCAACGTTCTTTCGACGAGCGGCTGAGAAGGCCTGCGACATGGTGAACCATCGGTCCAAATTGGGGAAAAATCACCCAGTGATTTTCCAGTGGTGATGACCATGACTCACATTGAAGTCTTGAAGCATGGTGACTGGGGATCCCCCCATGCTGTGCTCGCTGTCAGGTCGCTACAGTTCTTTCAGACTTTGACTCTTCAGGCTTCGTTCGTGGTTTCAGACTTTCAACCCCCCTATCGTTGATTTCGTACTGATACATGTTGTTTTTTTCCGTGATTTTCCATATAGTTATTCCCGAAAGGTTTAATACTTTGCTATTGAACATGACCCAGTCGAAATGACGAAAGTTTTTTCCCAGTAGCTGTAAGCATTTCCCATACTTATGTCACCGTTCACAAGTAATCGAATCCCCATTTTCCATATATTTTCCCATTTGTTTTCCATTCCATTTCCATCATGAGCTGACCCGGTATAGGAACGCCACCATGTTTCAGATGACCCGGTATAGGAACGCCACCATGTTTCACCTCGATCTCCAGGAAGACCACAGATCTAAGACCTCCGACTTGGCCTGTTTGTCCCGTGCCTTCGCAGGTGGCTTCAGGGGAAACAAGCAGGTCCCCGGTTCATAGGTTTGTCCCATATTTACATATATAGTATATATCTACATATCTACGTATATACATATATATTGGGGGGGCCGTGAGACACCTAATCACGCCTCTTCTTTACAGGAGCCACGCGGGCCCTTTGGCCTTGTGTTTCTTACCCTCCTGCACATAGGTTTTCCACATCCATAAGCTTGTTTTCCACAAGTTTTGGGCCTTTAGAGACCCTTTTTTCCACAAAATTTGGGCCTTCAGAGACCCTCTTTTCCACACTCTTTGGGCCTTTAAAAAGAGCTTGCTTTCCACGATCCTTGGCCCTTTCGAGAGCTAGTTTCCACCAGTTTTGGAACCAAGATCTCCATGTTTCTGCTGCAGGCCTCCACGACGGTGATACGAAACATGTGCGGAAACTTGCGGAAACATGTGCGGAAACTTTGCGGAAACATGCGCGGAAACTTGCGGAAACATGTGCGGAAACTTTGCGGAAACATGCGCGGAAACTTGCGGAAACATGTGCGGAAACTTTGCGGAAACATGCGCGGACACTTGCGGAAACATGTGCGGAAACATGTGCGGAAACATGCGCGGAAACTTGCGGAAACATGTGCGGAAACTTTGCGGAAACATGCGCGGAAACTTTGCGGAAACTGCGCGGAAACTTTGCGGAAACATGTGCGGAAACTTGCGGAAACATGTGCGGAAACTTTGCGGAAACATATGCGGAAACATCAACTTTAGTTGTGCACTTTTTGGAACCTCTTTATGAAACCAAGATTTTCCACAAATTTCGATGTCTTTTTTCCACGCTATTTTCTGCTTTAAGCTTTTTGTTTTTCCACAACTTAAGTGAACTTAAGGTTTAGTTTTTCCGCAGATAAATATATTTTTCTAAATTGTTTTATTTGTATGTGTGTATTGTTTGTATGTATGTATGTAGTTAGTTAGTTGTGAGAATATTCGGCTGAAGAAAGCTTGGGCAATCCAAGACAGAATAAACGATTGAACTGTAAGAAAAGGTTGCCCTTGAAGTGTGGAAAATTGTCCCTTTGAAGTGTGGGAAAATTGGGGCTTGTGTGAGTGTGGAATATTGCGGCTTGAAGTGTGGAAAATTGTCCCTTTGAAGTGTGGGAAAATTGGGGCTTGTGTGAGCGTGGAATATTGCGGCTTGAAGTGTGGAAAATTGTCCCTTTGAAGTGTGGGAAAATTGGGGCTTGTGTGAGTGTAGAATATTGAGGCTTGAAGTGTGGAAAATTGAGGCTTGAAGTGTGGAAAATTGAGGCTTGAAGTGTGGAAAATTGAGGCTGGAAGTGTGGAAAACTGGGGCTTGAAGTGTGGAAAATTGAGGCTTGAAGTGTGGAAAAAGAGGCGCTTGAAGTGTGGAAAAGGCGTGCCTGATGATAGGCTTATATATGACGTACATAAAGAAATGGTCCATAAAGAATAGTTGTCCAACGGCCCCCCCAACATATATACATATATACATATATACATATATATATACATATATGTATACATACATACTATGACTATAGGTAAGAAGCCCACTTACGAAGTTGTTAAGCGGGATGATCCTCGTATTTAACCTCCAAATTAGCTTGATACCACTGGGCTTGTCACATTGTCACCTTTGGTAATCAAACATGGTTTGCTTGAAAGTCCTTCCGCTTTGTTCGGTGACTTTCCAATTTAAATGGCTACGTAAAAACGGGCTTTCCTATTGCAATGTTCGATTTCCGGAAGGCAATTCGGTCTCATCCACTCAGATTCGATATTCTATTTATATCCTAGTATATTCGTGAATTCTATCCCATTCAGCTT